TTCTTATAAATTAATATTAGTTTACTTAATATAATTTTTTATAAAATTAAATATAAAAAAATTTTACCATTGAGTTTTATATAATTTCAATATATTTCCCTCTACCTTTAAAAGATTAATTTAAGAAAAGGCCAAAACATTATTATACAATCTTATCCAAATTTTTAAAAAAATCAAAAAATTTAAATAAATGCAGTACAGAATAATTTTTTTAAACATATATAAAAAATATTGCAAAATAATAATCAACTAGAAAAAGACAAATAGAATTAGTTTTGTAAATAAAAACCAAATAAAAATATATTAAATAATAGAATGACTAGCAGATAGATACATGAAAAAAAGATAATATAGCAAATAATCAAAATTAATTTATAAAAAAGAAAAAGAAAAAAGATAAAAAAATACGAAAATTATAATTAGATTTAGTTGTTAGTTTTATAGAAAAAAAATAAAAAGTATTTTTTATATAACTTTAATAATTAGCTTAATATAATCCTTTGGCTAGATTAATTTCTAACTAGTATAGCAAACTGCTTCTAGAATATCAAACCAGAATTTAAGTTAACTTTGTACAAAATATATATACAAAAATCTTAATAAAGATAATTAGCAAAATTGTTAAAGTATAAAAAAGAATAAAAACAAATAAGCCAATAAACTTATAACAGAATAAATACAATGTCAAGAACAGGTCTAATGGAAGAAACTAGAAAAGGTATTAGTTTTTATATTGTTCATATACATATACTCTATATACAAATAGAAATCACTTTTAAAAATTTTTAATTACTATAGTAATATATTGTTATTCCGGGTCTATATCAAAATCTTAAAACTGTCTCGTTGTTCCAATATTCAAACTTCGCTTATACGTTATTATATGGTAATTATTACTACTCATAAGCGGAGTTTGAATGTCAGAACCCAACATCACACAACGCGACAATTAAGTTTCAGGGGTATTGTAAAAAAAATTAGGTTAGTATACTGATACTGATTAAACGTTAATTTGTAATACGTATTACTGAAATTTATTAATTTAGCCAGCAAAAAAAAACAAAATTCCGACAAGTTAGCCCGCATTAGGTTAGTGTTGGCTGTAATTCCAATCAATTTTTGTCCCAAACCTATACTTATTGGCAAATCCAAAAATAAAAAATTGCTATTTATAAAAAATTGAATCAAAAAGGTAATCTTAAAAATTTTTCAAATATATTACATATAACTATAAATATATCTCTTATTTGTTTAAATGAAGATTAAATAATAAAGTTTTTAAGATATAAGTTTTGACCAGAGTATAGGATTTGGACCAAAACTATAATACTGTATATAACTATATTTGTTAAAAAAAAAAAACTTTAACCGGATTTTAAATTACAAAATTTTATTTGTTTAAACTTAATTGGTTTGTAAATCACGCACATACCATAAAATTGCCATAAAATTACCATAAAATTTTTTGTAGCTAAGTGACTAACGTCTAATTGGACAAATTGCTAAATATTATACAAATACCAAATTATAAAGATAATACAATCGACCCAAATCCAAGTTCTAGAACCAAAATATAAGCCAAGAGTTTTGCTCAAAAAAGTATACATACGTACGTACGTACATCTATTTCGATCATGTTTTGAACGCTCTAACCAAAAAAAGATTCCTTAGAAATTTTAGTACGTATGTACATATCATGTATAAACTAAACCCCAAGTAATGGACTGTTTTGATATGATCTAATTGGTCATAAATGTAGATCAGTAAAAATCTGTTGGATAGTTGACATGCTTAAATAAAATTACCATGTAAATAATATTGGTACGTACGATACGTAATTACGTACGTACGTAGATATTTACAATTACTATGTTGGACATTGGAGTTCGCGTAATATTGTTACGAAATGATTTAATGTATCACACAATCGCATCTGTTTTTTTTTGTTTCCTATTATAAGCAATAGGTAGTTACCAAATTGGGCTCTTTATATTGATTTTGTAGTCCTGATAGACTAACCAATCATGACTTTGTTCCGTCAGATCAACAGGAATCTTCCTCTTCTGGTAATCCGTATGTTCGCAATGAACCAAAAATGACGATTACACAGGAACCTATACTTATAAACTTCGGACATTGCTTTATCTGATCGTTTCGTTTTCTAGTTTCTACGTATAGACACAATATATGCTTTAAGTTATATAATAAAGGACTTACAAATCTAAATATTACTTGCAATACAAAGATATGCAGTTAGATAAATTAGTTTAAACAGTATGAACATGTTTTCTGGGGGGTTTTTTTGAACCAAATGATTCAAGCATACGCCATATGATCAATATTTAGTTAATCATAATAATATATACAAAAATAACAAGAAACTTTACACTCACTACGTACTAAATTTTGGATATGATTCGTTAAAAATTTTTTATCAGGAAAAAAAAGTTTTTTTTTTACATCAATGTGAGACATTAACTTACTATTTTAATTACTTACAAAGGGCAAATTAATTTTGCAGTATGGTGCACTTATTATTTTGGATTGTCAACGACATTTAAGATTATCTTTATGCATATACTCCTTGAAATTATTAACTATTTTTGAAAAATCTTTAAAACATCTGCACGAAAAAAATTACCATTTAAATTTACCAAATTAGGTTAATATACCGGTCCTTTATTTTGGTGTTTTTAGTAATAATAAGCATGTGTATGTTGCACACGTACCGTACCTACGTACGTAGCGTACGTGTGTACGTATCTGATATCTGATATTGTACATGAGAATGTACGTATGTACGTAGGTAATTGGATAAGTTATTCATTAATACATATGACGAGTTTAAGACGCGTAACGATTAACGCGTATATTCTGGTGACAATTATTTTTGTTAATTGAGTTCAAAGAAAGTACGCAAGTACGTACCTTATAACGAACCATATAGTGCGGACCACGACATCCTGGTACAATAAATTCATTTCGTTTGTCAACATACACGTAATAAAAAGCGCAAAAATGTAAATAATCAAAAAAAAACCCCATAATTAAAAAATTAAAAAAGATACAAGTTTGAAAATATACAACCGATAAGTCCAAGACGGAAATAATTCTATTTTAACTTAAAACGATTTACCAATATCATGGAAAAACTCGGTTTTTTTTTTAATTTCAAAAATTGTAGATTAATATTAGGAAAATCATATTAGTAACCGTGGCGACCTATATGACTAGTTCAATCACGTCATGTAAATCTTTTTTTCATATTTACCGAGTTTTTTTTTTGGTCATAATTGGAGCCGTCGTTGAAGTAACGCCTTTCAATAGTTTTTGTTTTTTTAGAATATTTAAAAATTCTTTAGAAAATTATATTTATATATTTTTTTTACTTGCAGTCTGGGCGACAACTCAACTGATAATTTAATTTAAAAAGTTTTTAGGCAAAATATTTTTATATAAAAAGTTGAATGATTCGACTAAATTAGTTTTTTAAATGATTAATAATGATTAATTAAAAGTTTAGCTTTAACAAGTTATAAATAAAAATTTGGCCACTATTAACAGAAAAAAAACCCCCAAATTCTGCTTGAAATTAGGCGCTTTAAATTCTGATATCTTTTAAACTAATAAGTATAATGATTTGAGATATAACCTTTAGTACGTACTAATATACTTTCTTAATAAACCTTGGCTTTTTTTTATTACTAAAACTAAGATTATAATATTATTACCAAAACTTTATTATTTTTTTTTCTTTTTACTTTAGAAACATTACGCAATACTTTTTTTTCCATACATACTTTAGGAATGTCATGCAATTTACATAGGAAATATTATGCAATGACTTTTTTAATAAATATATAATAAACCGGAAAAGAAAAAAAATAAAATAAAATAAAATGAAAAAACCATAGTAAAATAAAATTTAATAGGTCAATAATTTGGTCGTCAAATAATAACGCCCTAATAATAATGCCTAAAAATTTTTAATTTTCAATTTTCAAATCTCAAATCTCAAATTTCACTCAAATCCATTCTCATAATAATACTTATTCCTTTTCATTTTTTGTTTCTTCAATCGTTTGAGTCTGTTCCACTTCAGTTGTCCCTACTTCACTTGGTTCTACTACACCTTTCATTGTAGGTTCATTTCCCGTTCCTCCTCCTCCTCCTATACTTTCATCATCAGTTAAATTCTTTATATCACCATCAACATCATTATTCTTCTTGTTACTACTCTTTAATTTCTTTTGTGATCTCCCTGAATTCGTTATATCACCACTCTTACTTTTTCGACCTCTTTTTGTCGCATTAGAATGTGATGAACTTGTTTTAGCATTATCATTTCCATCAATAATATTTAAATCATTAATATTTCCTACAAATTCATCTTCTTGACCAACTTTTGGTTCATAAACTATGAACCTATTACCTAAAGTAGCTCTTGTAACTGATCGAAGTGATCTTGATTTATCCAAATTTGGAGATTTTTTTCTACTTGTAGATTTCCTTTTATTAGATGAATCAATAGCATCAGATGATGCATGTTGTGATTCACCTGATTCGGATTCTGGTCTTGGAGGTACCGAAAACATTGTTATATCAGTTTGTGTTAATGGAGTCTTTTCACGTTCATTTTGTGATGACATATGTGTTGTTGACCCTCCTGATTTTGTTATATCTTTTTTATGTTTACCACCACCACGTTGAGTTGAAATTCCTTCATTTGACGTTGTAGGTGAATGATATGATTGATCATAACTCATTTGTTGAATTGATGTTGATTTATCGCGTGGTCTTTGTGTTGAATCTGGTTGATGACGTATATCATGTAATTGTGAATATGAATGAATATCTTGTGGTGGAAGTTGCCATACTGAAATATTTGGAATCTGTTTTGGAAGTGGATGATTATTCTGCCAATTTCGAACCGATACAGGATAAAAGTCTGAGTACATATGAATTTATTATTTTTGATTTTTTTTTTTTTTTTTTTTTTTTTTTTTTTTTTAATCAATAATTGTAAAAAAAGTTTATTAGCTTACTTTTGAATTCCTCAAGAAAGTACCAGCTTTATCGTGACGCGTACCTTGATCCGAAATTAATTCTGCTATTTGTTCAGCAGATGGTTGTTCTGAACCACTCATATTTGGATGACTATTTAATGATGATGGATTTGGACCTTGATTACCTTGATTAGAATATCTTTGAATTATTTGTTGATACGCTTGTATACCCTTATAAAAATCTTGTTCTAATGTATCTTTATTTGTTTCATGTGGATTCATTTGTATAGCATTTACAGGGGGACTTCTGTGTGAAGGTTTAACGAATGAATGTTCGGATGGTCTTGATGACATAATAGTTGAATAATTATAACCTGGAGGATTTTTTTCCATTTCTACTAATCTTGCAAAATTTTTAGCTAACGGACTAATCCCAGCAACTGATGAACTAGTTGAACCTGTTGTTAAATGTTTTCCATGTTTTCTTGTTGATGGATCAAAATCTAATTCAGTAGCTTCAATATGTAATTCTCCATTATCAGCATGAAGAAAAAATCCTGAAATAAAAAATTGTGAATATAATTCCCAATTTACTGCCATATTATCCCATCGATCATTATCTACTTGATAACCAATACGAAATCTTTGATCAATTGAACGACGAGAATGATGATGACTATCAATAGATGATTTTGTTCGAACAAATTGTGAATTTTCAAGTTGACGTAATGAACCAGGAATAGGTTGAGTACAAATACTCAAATATGGTGATGATAATGGTATTTCCTCCGATTCCCAACATCCCGATGATGGTTTCATAAACGGCGTTGCAACTGATACATTGATCTAAAAATAATAATAATAAATGTTTAAAACGTGTTTTAGAATTTATTTAAATAATTGAATTTACTTTTATCATTATTCAAATATTCAAATATTCAAATATTCAATATTCATACCGTAAAGCATTCTATTTTATCAACAATCTCATATGAAAATTTTCCAACCATTGTTACAACATCTCCTTCAGAGAATGGAAGACAATATTTTGTTTGCCTGGCACTTGGTGATATTTTATAACGAATAGTTCCGAATTGGTTTTCTTCAAATCGATACCGTCCAATTCCAACCTCTATACCATTCTGTCGCGATTTTTTATCTATCAGAGCGACAATGTGCATAGTCGATGACATTGTTGATTTTTTTTTTTTTTTTTTTTTTTTTTTTTTTTTACGTATTGTATTATTTTATAAAAAAATTAGTTCTAAATTTTTAAATTTCTAATTAAATTTTTTAAAATCTTTAAAATTTTTAAATTTTTTGAATTTTTTGAATTTTTAAATTTTGCGACAAGAAAAGGGTAAACAGGGAAGAGTAGATGAAAATGGAAAATGATATCTTTTGTAAATTTTAATAAAGAAATATGAGTACGAGACAAAATAAAGCTTTAAATGTACAGCCGAAGTGCTTAATATAAATTGCCAGATACGGTAAGAGAAGGAGGAGTAGATCAAATTTCGAAAAGTCAGAACAAGGAAAAAAAGAGTTCAGTTTTTTTCTAATTTTACTTTTTAATAAACAAGGGAATCATGATGTAAGGGGGGTTCAATAAATATGTATGCGAAAGATAGTGTGACTAATGGTGTGCCGGAATTCCCAACCAAAATTGTGATGAAAGGGTAAAATTACAGTTTTTTTGTCGAATTATTGCTTAATCTGGTAAGCGTAAAAAAAACTATAAAGAATTCAGAAGCAACACAAAGGTAGCATGATCAAGTATAGTATAAAAAAGGAATCCATATTATCTATTGTGAAACATTTGGATAATAGTTTCACAGATAACATGAATAAGATTCCTATTTAAGTCATCCATTTATGGACCCAAACGTTCACCAAGTCTTTTCTTGGGTATCTTATTCAATTCAAGAATTTTTTTTTTATCATCAAGAAATATATTTTTTAAGGATTACCCCTTTTCATTAGTTATATGCAAACATTACCTGGTTACCTTCCTGTATTATTATCCTGTATTTTTTATTATCAATTAATCATTCTGATCACTAGTCCCATTTTAAATTAAAGTTTTGTTTTAGCTCCGTCATACGCACATCTTTCATTTTCTGTAAAAAGAAATTTCTCTAAAATCATACGTATAAATTTGTTTATATATTCTTCAAATTTAGAAAATCCGTGAAATTTTAATGAATGTATCAATTATAAATGGTCTTACTTTTCTTAGTTGATCGAAAAAAAAACAAAGCTTTATATATTTGTTATTGTTATTATATGTACCTACGTACCTAAGTACCTACGTATGTACGTAGAAACCATTCTCATTTATTCAATGATTGACAACCTCGTTTTCTTAAAATAAACAAACTTTTAAATTTTAAAAAGATTTCTGATCAAATTACGTATTTCCAATATTAAGTTTTATTGTCAACTTATAAAAGGATAGTTCCTTTACTAAATACGTCAATATATACAATTTAAATTTCAAATTAATTTATATATCGTTAGTTTTTATATGTAGAAATAAAATTATCATGTGTAATATTCAATTCACTTTTTTTTCGTACGTACGTACGTACGTAAAAATTATCAAAAAAAAACTACCGATTTTTTTTGACCTAACATTGACTGGTTAAAAAAATTGGTACATACGTACGTACGTATTAAATTATTAAAACTATGAATTTCCATTTTTTTACGTACGTACGTACGTATTAGAAAATCAAGTTGCATTTTTTAATCATAAAGTTTCATAACATGAACAAAATATTTTCATGTTTTTGATTCGCAAAACCTTTTATGTTATCTTATTTCCTCAAATGGTTGAAAAAACAATTAAACCATAAATCATAAAAATCCTGTTTACACAAAAAGAATTACTCTTATAAATTATGTGCTACGTACAATAAAAAATAAACAAAATTTTGCATTTAAATTGTTTAATCTATATTTTATGGTAATAAATGTCTTACCTACAAACTATGTATGTCGTATGGACGTACGTATAAGATATTAGGTGGTAAATGAATTACCAAAATCATTCATATATGCCGATTATTAAGAAATTTGTAATAATAACATCCTGATCCGTTGGGAATTAGCGGAAACTAAGTTTCCGCTTATTCACATACGGTCAGGGTATTATTAATTAATCTTCCCGTGATCTTGATATAGTGATCGGGGGATTAGTATTGTTACGTATAATGTTATCTTTCAATAATAAAAAAACTAATTCGAGGAGTTCCCTAAATATTTTTCATTATCTTTTATAAAGAATATAACCAAATATTGATACGTATAATTACTAGGTTGGTAATTATAACTATATAAAGTGATAATACCCATACAAGTGTTAATTGTTCTGTGCTTTATCGTTATAATTATTGGTAAAATTAAAAAATATAAATTGTAACTATACGTATCAAGAGTAACTATATTGAAGTTAGATTATATTTGTAAATTGTTTTATTAAAGCAGACTGCTTTAAGCTTTTTAAGCTTTTTTAAAAATTGTTCTTAAATAAGGTTAAATAATACCAAAAGCTTAATTTTTTTGTAAAAATTTAATGTTTTTTTTTAATTATTAAAAAATAATATAAATTGGTTAATTTTTTTTAGAATTTCACAATTTGATTTGATTTGATGATTTGATCAAATATTTGACTTCAAATCAAATTCAAATTTAAAATTTTCAAATCAAATATGATCAAATTTGATTTAATTTAAATATTTATAATTGAATATTCAAAATTAAAAGTTATTATTTTAAAATTTATTAAGACAATTAATTTTTCATTTTATAAAACTAAAGTATTTTGTTTAGAAAAATATTTTTACTTAAGAACTCAAGATTAATTAATATAATAAATTTTTTTTTTTGACTTAAGTAGTCATGTTAATATTTTATTAAGATTCTTGAAATTACTTTTACAATTATATAAATTTATCTAACAACTAAGTTTAACATTACCTGGTCATCTTAAAGGTACCTAAATGCAATCTGTTACACTATTTTAAACAAAAATAAGCTATTTATCTGACTACTTAAAGTTCATAGTAAAAAGGTTTTCCTTCTTTTATGACAAGTCTCAACATTATTTTTCTAGTTTCTTCTTTAATTCTCTTCTTCTTCTCTTTTGCTTGTTTTTTTTCTTTTTTACTTTTTTGCTGATTTGTTTTTACTTTTTTCTTCAAGTTCTTTTTTTTTTACTTCTTTTCTTTTTATTTTACTTGTTATATCTTCTTTTTTCTCTTATTTGTTGATTTTTTTACATCATATTCTCCAAACTTGGTCATAAAAAGTGTTTTATATTGTTTTTGTTACTATATCTACAAACTGTTATCTTGTCTTTATACTTAGAAATTGTACTAATATGTCTTATATTTTTCTTAGAATTAGGTTTTTGATTAATGTTTCTCTTATTTTTATTTCTTTTGTTTTTATTTTTCTAAAGAGTACTATATATAACACATATAAGAGAATATGGGTTTTTTTTTTTTTAATTTTTTTAGGCTGTTACAATATTTATTTTTTGGATTTGTTTTTAGAGATTTATTTGTCTCTTATATAATATCAAGTATGTTTATATTTTTTAATTTTATCTTTACATATTTGACATTTTGTTATTATGTATATATCTGATCTTTTTCTGTTAAATTCTTCTAAAATCAGAAGTTTATCTATTATACATTTTATAAATGCATATTTTCTTGTATTACTTCTTCTTGTTTTATAATATACTCTTTTAGTTATTTTTAGTCTTTTTCAAAATTATATTCAGTTATAAATTATGATTTCTGTTTTTGGTTCTAACTTTTTGATTGCTTTTGTTTCTTTTTATTCTGCTTCTAATCTTATATTTATAACCAATTTGTATAACAGTCTTGCTAGTATATCAGTTTATCTATTTTTTTATTATAGACAGTACTCTATTTCTTTATATCTGATTTTTTCTATTTGTATTACTTTTTCACTTATTGTTTTCTTTTTTATAAGACTATTAACTTTGTCATCCTACTTGTTTTTGATATAACTTTTAATTTTTATCAATTCTATTTATATCTTTTTCATATTAATAAGATCTATAATCTTTATTATTCATATTGTATTTTTTTTAAGAATCTTCATTTTATCTATTTGTTTTAAATCTTTACTAATATTTCTTATTACAATATTACTATCTATATATATTTTTGCTTGTCTTTTATTTAGTATTGTTAAGATTTCTGACTAAATAACTACTAATTCTGCTATCATTGATATTATTCATCTTTCTAACTTAATAATATTTCTTTTTCTAATCACCCTTACATCTTATTTGTTTGGATTTATCTTATAGTTATATTCTTAGCTAGTATTTCTTTTCTGATCTTTATATTTACTATACTATCTATATATATAATATATTTGTTCTTATTTTTTATTAAATTTATTTTTAGTATTTTTACTATGTCTTGTTTAATATTTTTATTTAGTTTTTATTACTTGATTATTTCTATTTCTAACTCTTTTATTATCATAAGTCCTTCAAGTTTTTTTCACTATTTTTTAACTTCTTTGTTTCTATTTTTTCTGTTAATTGATCTATAGCTAACTTGATCTTATTATTATTTTTCTTTATCAATATATCAAAAATTATTCTAATCTTATTTTTTACTTTTATTTATTGCTAGCAACTGTCTTTTATCTGTTTTTCTTCTTCTATATGCTCATCATATCTGCTAATTTTTGTTACTAATTCATTTTTTTTGCTTTGTATTTGCCAATATTTTAATAAATTTTTTTTTTTTTATTATTATTTTTTCTAACTGTTTACAATCTTGTGCATCATATATTATTTACTATTTTTTCTCTTATTTTCTAATATATACTTATACTCTATTCTTATTACTTGAATATTATGTTTGTTTGTCTTAAAGTATTCTTTAACTTTTCTGTTTAATGGTCCTTCAAGCATTTTTGACTTTATTTCTTTAAACCATTTTGCTTTTTTGTCCTTATTTGACTATCTATAATAAATTTTAAATTACTGTTATATAATCAACATTTTATCTTTTGCATTAAATAGCTAATTTAAATATATTAGACCTGCTTCACTTATTTTAATTCTATTCTTTTTTCACAATTATGTTTCTAAAAGTTTTGATATTTTGATACTATATTTAAATATTTTTTATAAGTT